AAAAAAAAAAAAAAACCATAAGAAGAAATGAAATGACCCATAAAATGACTCAGCATTTTAATGGATTTGTTTCCAGGTTTTTCTCTTACATGGTTGAATTGTGTATCTAGAGACTTTCGGTAGATACATACACATTTCCCCATATTTGCCATCCGTGTTTATAAAATAACTTTCAAGGTCTGTGTAATACTTTGCGCAGAGAAGTACATGTACCTATATGCATTGTGTGGATACTGGGATGTAGTTCACTTGATTTAAAAAATTTTTTTATGTTTATTCACTGAAAGAGAGAGACAGAGCACAAGCAGGGGTGGGGCAGAGAGAGAGGGGGACACAGAATCTGAAGCAGGCTCCAGGCTCTGAACTGTCAGTCCAGAACCCGACACGGGGTTCGAACTCAGGAACTGCGAGATCATGACCTGAGCCGAAGTCGGATGCTCAACCGACTGAGCCACCCACACGCCCCAATTCACTTGTTTTTAATCTGGAAGATGTTTTTGTTACCAGTATGCGGAAAAGAAATTTGCTTTATCTGATTGTTTACCTACAGCTTGGCACATTTCATTAACCAATATTGGTGTACTCAAAAGAATACATTATTCAGCATGTCTGCTATTTTTCAGATAGCAAATCAACTTGTTTTTTAATATAGATATTAGATAATTCACACTTGATCAGTGGAAAAATCAATTTCTTCTCTTCCCTTTTCTTTTGAATGAAATTTGGCGAGGAGACGAATAACAAATATAGAAGTGGTGCTCCCTCTTAACTCACTGGGTTTCCCCATCAAGGACGCCCTGTGCATAGTGTTGGTCCGCTAGATACAGGCCTTTCTCATACCTTGTTAGAGTCAGTTAGTAATTTCATTCCCTATACCCAGACCTACCAAGTGCAAATCTTCCAACAAATTAAATTTCCAGTTATTATTGGCTTCCATTTTATAGTCTCTCTGGAGAAAAATTAATATTGGTAGGAAATTCATAAAAAAGTGACATTCTCCGTGAGGGTGGTACATCTTCTCCCTTCACTTGTGCCTCAGTGTTACATTTGCACTGGCCCTGATTGTGACAGCGCTGATGCGCCCTCGGTGGACATTCAGGGTACAACAAATGAGAACATGTCCGGCTAGGGAAGGCGTAAGGGAACTAACGTTTACTGAATGCTTCTGATGATCACTAAATACTGAATTAAGTGCTTTTTTTTTGTACTTTATTGTAAAGAATCCCAAGCATGGGAGGCAGGAGTTGTATTTTTATTTTTATTTATTTATTTATTTTTTTCAACGTTTATTTATTTTTGGGACAGAAAGAGACAGAGCATGAACGGGGGAGGGGCAGAGAGAGAGGGAGACACAGAATTGGAAACAGGCTCCAGGCTCTGAGCCATCAGCCCAGAGCCCGACGCGGGGCTCGAACTCAGGAACCGCGAGATCGTGACCTGGCTGAAGTCGGACGCTTAACCGACTGCGCCACCCAGGCGCCCCGTGGAGTTGTATTTTTAAAATAAGGAAACCGAGAGGTGCCTGGCTGGCTCAGTTGGTAGACCGTGTGACTCTTGATCTCTCAAGGTTGTGAGTTCAAGTCCCACATTGAGCGTGGAGCCTACTAAAAGAAAAATTCATCTTGCTTATATTAAAATAAGGGAAATGAGGGTGGGGGCACTAAGGGATAGGGTAAGGGTATGGAAATAATACTGAGTACAAACCATATGCTGGGTCTGTGCTAGGTGTGGACAGATTAGAATATTATTATTTTATGGATTTCACAGATTATTTCAGTTGATCTTTAAAACACTACCTTATGAAGTAGGGATTCCTAGAACATTTGACACATGGCAGAATAGGGGTCTCATGAGGGCTTTTATGCCCCCCAAACCTTGTTATCTCTCTTCAGTTTACAGTGCAGCTGGCCAGCTGTAAAAAAAAATGCCGATTTTTTTTTTTTAAGTTTTATTTATTTAAGGAATCTCTACATACCATGTGGGGCTCGAACTCAGTATCCGAGATCTGGCTGAGCCAGCCAGATGCCCCCAACCTATACAGATTTTTAAGAGTTTTAAAAAGGAAAAGCTAGATGTATTTCCTCAAGTAACTAAAACTTAAACACCATCAAGTATAAAAAACATATTTACGCAACTAAGAAAACAATATAAATCCTTGTTTTTTGTAAGTACCTTTCTTTTTTTTTAATGTTTATCTTATTTATTCTTTTGAAGGGAAAGAGAAAGTGTGTGTGTGCATGTGCACGCAAGCATGTGTGCACAGGCATGTGCAAGAACAGGAGAGTGGCAGAGGGAGAAGGGTGTGAGAATCTTAAGTACTCTCACAATCGTGAGATCATGATCTGAGCCAAAACCAGGAATCAGACGCTTAACCAACTGAGCCACCCAGGCACCCTGACAGTTTGACTTTTGAACAAAAGAATACATTTTTTAAAAATAGGATGGAATAAATTCAAAAATCCATATTTGTACCTTATCTTAATGAATTTTTACCTGGCTCTCAATCCCTTTACAACCCATGTTAGGCTTTTGGGAAATGCTTTCTTTTTTCTTTAGCCTCACCAAGATTTTGAAACCCATGTCAACAGACAGTTCCCTTCACACTGTCCCAGATTCTTCTCTCAATGAGATTCATGGAACTTCTCTTTTATTATTACTTTCTATTAAGGTATAATTGACAAATAAAGCCTAATGTGCACAATGTATATATGGTGAGATGATTACCACAATCACGTTAATTAATACATCTATATCCTCAATATAGTTACTTTGGTGTGTGTATGGAGGGAATAGCCTAAGGTCTATTCTCTTAGTAAATTTCAAGTATACAATACAGTATTATTAAGTATAGTGATCATGGTGTACATTAGATCCTCAGGGGTTATTCATCTTATGACTAAAAGTTTGTACCCTTTGACCAACATCTCCCTGTTTCTCCCACCTTGTAGCCCTGGCAACCATCATTCTATTCTGTTTCTATGAGTTTGACTTTTTTTCAGATTCCACATATGAATGATACCACCATTTGTCTTTTTCTGCCTGGCTTATTTTACTTAGCCATAGTGCCCTCCATATTCACCCATGCTCTTGCAAATGGCAGGGTTTCCTTCTTTCTTAAGGCTGAGTAATATTCCAGTGTGTGTGTGTGTGTGTGTGTGTGTGTGTGTGTGTGTGTGTATACCACATTTTTAAAATCCATTTATCCATCGATGGACATTTAGGTTGTTTTTATATCTTAACTATTGTGAATATGCTGTAACAAACTTGGGGTTGCAGATACCTCTCTGAGATACCGAGTGCACTTTCTTCAGACATATTCCCAGAATTGAATTGCTGGATCTTATGGTAGTTCTAATTTCAGTTTTTTTGCAGAACCTCCATACTATTTTCCATGGTGGCTGCACCAATTTGCATTCCCACCAACAGTGCGCAGGGGGTCCCTTTCCTCCACATTCTTGCCAGCCTTCATTATCTCTTGGAATCTTCTCTATCTTCAAAGAATTTTACGATCAAAAAGCTTGTCAACAAACCTTTTTCTTCAAGGCGGCCTTGCAAACCACCCCCGCCACCAATTCCAGCTTTGTGAGTAAAAGAAAGCTTTTCAGAGTTGTACAAGAAGCTTGTTGCTAGAAATCCAACAGGGTACTGTGTTTGATTTCACCGGTAATTTTGCTCTGCAGTATCTAAGCTTACAAGAGGAGATGAGCTTTTGGATTTCTTTGTGCAATTTTTAATCTAGGGGTAACAAGCCCCTTGCCTAAAAAAGTCAGTCTCCCATCTCCCGTCCACTGAGTGAATAGACACCTGGAATTTCTCTGGCAAATGGTAGTGTTTCTTTCTGTACCAAAAGATAAGACTGAAAATGCAAATATCCTGGGGAGAAGTCACATTTACTAAATTATACTCATGCTATCCTGCAAATGATTGATACGGGCGTCTCTTCCCAAAGAAGGTTGAGATATCAGACATCGAGGAGCAGGAGAGATCCAGGGGTTTAAAGGGGAGGCGTGAGAAGGAGGAGCCAGTGCCTGCTCAGGGGGTAGGGCTCAGAGACTGTGATTCCTCATGGTTTCCGTCTGGCCTTTCAGAAAATATTTACGATGGGAGTCACATTTTATGCTTTAAAGCGTCCGCTTTAAAGTCAGTGTGCAAACTGTGGCAAAAAGCACTCTTGGAAATCCCTTAAATCTTCCAGTAAGTGCCATTCTTTCCATTTCCCAGGAAGCCCAGCATCGCCGGTTATTCCTAGGCGTTACCACTGCTGCTTCTTTAGTGGAGTCCCGTGGTGGTTTGCTTGTGTTTGGAGGCTGTGTGCTTAAAAAACGCATTCGGTACACCCAGATGAGGCAAACTACAAGACATGCAGGGGTACGGAGGCTAAGCCAGGAAACAGTGTTGTGCTCGCACCGGGACATACTCATGCCCAGGAATGGAATGGGGAGGACTATACACACTATTTAAGTTGTTCTCGCTCTCACTTTCTCAATTCTCTTTTTGGCCCAGTGGGTATCGTGGAACTTGTCTCGTGGGAGTTAAAGGCATGTGATTCAACTCCTCTGCACATTCAGCCGGATACGGCTCCCCAGGCACTTTCTAAATCTCACCGTAGCCCTGGAGAGGGACTGGCAGAGCAGAAGTCAGAAAACCACGGGGGACACTGGGGTTAAGCTGGACCCTTTGGTCCTAGGTCAGAAAAACAAGAGCAAATCTATGTGGAAGCTTTGATCAGATGACAGGTCAGGTGAACACAGTGGTTTACAGTTTGATGGAGATTTGTCTCTCTTTCTCGACAGGCTGGTCCATTCAGGTCCGGCCAAAGGATCGCCCCAGGCTGGTGTGGATCTGTCCTTTGCTACTCGAACAGGCACCAGGCAGGGGATCGAGACACATGTCTTCAGGGCCGAGACCGGCAGGGACCTCTCCCATTGGACGCGGAGCATCGTACAGGGATGTCACAACTCGGCAGAACTCGTCACCGAGGTCACCACAGGTGAGCACTGCTGGCTGACACAGGACCGGCACGCCCTCTCCTCTGCCCTGGCCTCAAAGTAGTTTCCACTATTGGCCTTTTTGGCTGTGGAGAATTCCAGAAGTACACTTAAATTCTTCCAAATTAAGGCACTGTATGCCCTACTGAAAAGCAAGCCTTTCTCCTCCTTCATTCAAGAAAAGTTGGTAACTTGGAGAGTCAGATGTCATTTTCCTACTTGTGTAACCCTGGGTGGCTTCCTGGAGGCATGTACTTTGGAGGCCCAAACTAGTAGGATTCTTGTTATCAACAACAGAGACTGACTCTGAATAGCTTATCACAGAATACAATTCTTGCACATTAGTGTTGGTAGCTCACAGAGTTGTTTACAAAACTGGGGAACCAGTTGGTGAAAAAGAGCGGGAAACAGACGTGTCTAGCTGGGGTGAAACAGCAAAGGGGAAACTACCAGTGACCCCTGCCCCTGGTATGGATGGAGAAGCCGAGGCTGGATGGAAGGAACACACAGTGAGTGCAGCCATGTTCCTGCAGAGCTCTACGACAGAGCCGATTAGTGGGGAAGCTGGGATTTGTATAAAGAAGGAAGAACCTTCTATACTGTACTATTTATTGAGTGCTCACAACGTGCCAGGCATCTCATCTACTGCCTCTCAGTGTTTTTCTTTTTCTTTTTTTTTTTAAGTTTATTTATTTATTTTGAGAGAGCAAGAAAGAGAGCATGTGAGCATGGGGGAGCGGCAGGGAGAGAGGAGAGAGCGCATCCCAAGCAGGTTCCTCGCTGTCAGCTGAGTCTGATGCAGGGCTCGAACTCACAAACCGCGCAATCATGATCTGAGCTGAAACTCAAGAGTCGGATGCTTAACCGACTGAGCTACCCAGGCACCCCTCAGTGTTTTTCATACTATGAGAAACAACCCTACTAGGGGTCCAGAAATCAATGAATTGAGGCCAGACCAACATTTAAAAAATTAAATGGAATAGGAAAATCAGTGTAAATATTGTTTAGGTTTGTAGAACTTTTGATTCCGGGGTGTGTGTATGACTAGGGTCATAATACGTTGCCTCACCTTGTCTAATGCACACAATTCCCTTGCCAACCTGCTTTTACAAATCTGGAAGCAAATCCTTAAGAAAGGTTAAGTAATCAGGGCGCCTGGGAGGCTCAGTCGGTTAAGCGTCCGACTCCAGCTCAGGTCATGATCTCGCGGTCCGTGAGTTCGAGCCCCGCGTCGGGCTCTGTGCTGACAGCTCAGAGCCTGGAGCCTATTTCGGATTCTGTGTCTCCCTCTTTCTGACCCTCCCCCATTCATGCTCTGTCTCTCTGGGTCTCAAAGATAAAGAAACGTTAAAATAAAAAAATTAAGAAAAAAAAAGAAAGGTTAAGTAACTTATCCAAGATCACACAACTCATAAATGACAAAACTGTAACACTAGGTTGTGTCATTCTAAAGACTCTTTCTCATTGACTATAGTGTCTACAAGGACATAGATCTCACCGCTATACCACTGGTCCGAAAACAGGCTGCTGTGATCAATAATTTTCATGCCACTCTCCAAATCAGATGGATAGATAGGTGACCGATAGACGATTGACAGATAGCTAGATGATAGATAGAAATGCATGCACATATAAATATACAGATATAGATAATCTAATTTTTTACTGGGCAAAGATAAAATTAGAGACTAGGAAGTAACAGGAATCTAAAGTCACATGAATGAACAAAGTACGTGCTGTAAAATCTTGTACATTTGCTAAGGTGGATTCCATACTGGCCCAGTGATTTTCAGCAGCCAGCACAATGTACAGTTAACAGTGTCCATAATGCTGTTGTTCCTGATTCTGAGATGTAAGGCAGACTGTTTCTAGCTCTGAGATCTAGAACCAACCTCTCTTCCAGGTGTCCTGCGGTCACTCATAAAGAGGGCATGTGTGACAGAGTGGCTAGTATCCTCAACAACAGTCTTCCAGGAAATCCAACGTTGAGTCCCATAAGGCTGCTTCTCCGTTCACCCCTTTCTATCGTGTTTTCCTGCCTGTTCCTTCATTTCTCTGTGTCTCTGAGCATCCAGTATAAGGTGGTAGCCACAGTGTGGGATTTAAGTCAGAAAGGCCTGGATTCAAATTCCAGTCCTGTTTCTTTCCTAATCTCTTACTCTTACTTGCCTCGCTTGTTTCCATTATCCATAAAAAGAAGAAAATAACGGTACCTACCTCCTAGGATTGTTGTCGAGGATTATGAGAAATAATCCATGTAAAGCTCCTAGAACAGTGCTTGACACATAGTAAGTGTTCACTCAGAGTTGTTATCAGTCATTACTCCTGTAATGACTTCTCCAGACCCGTGTGGTCCAGTACGCTGGCTTCTGGTCATATGTGGCTATTTAAATATTATTGAATTAAAATTAAATTACTCCCTCAGTCACACCAGCCACATTTCCAGGGCTCAGTCACTACGTGTGCCTAATGGCTACCACGTTGGACAGTGCAGATCTAGAACCTTTCCATCACGGCTGAAAGTCCTACTGTACAGCTTTGCTCTAGGGGAACAGGATTGCCCACAAGACATCTCAGGTACAGCATTTCCAAACTTGAGCCACACTAAAAACAACAGAAATAAAAGTTTTTGTTGTTGTTATTTTATTCTCAGAAGCCTGGTTGCTGACCTCTACCCCCAGAGATTCTGAGTCAGCAGCTTGGGGATGGGGCCTGAGAATCTGCACCTAATAAATAGCAGGTGGTGCTGATGCTGCTGGGCCCTGGACCACTTTGGGAGCACTACCGCGCTAGGCAGCAGCTTCCCCCGGGACTCAGGAATATTCTGAAAGATGGGACACATATCTTTCGGATGTGTAGTATGGTTTCTCCACATTTCCTCTACTCATGAAAACGTGAAAAAACAGATGTTTTGTAGAATTTCCACTGCAGCAACACCAACAAAATCTGTGTCTTTTAGTAGTTACCCTGAAACTGATTGGTGCCCCGACTATTTTCCATCATTGTTGGAAACCTTTCTGGAGCGTCGCTGAAACTTTTTTTTTATGCTGAATCTGTATGGCAAGAAAAACTAGAGTTTTGGAGCTGAGATTTGGAAAACCTGAAAACTAAACTTAAGTTACATGTGTAAATACCGGAAAGAGCCATGCTCCTTGCAATAAATTCAGGAGTGTTCTAGGAAAGAATGGAGATGGCCAAAGGGATTTGGTTTAGTTTGCATTCCACAGATTCTGTAAAATCTGTCTCTCTCAATAAGTTGAACTCTACTTGGACAGGAAAATAATGAGGTTGGTGGTACACCAGCCAAAGGAAATAAACAATGAATTGTGTGGATGGAGCTAGCCGGGTGGTGGGAGAGAAGAAATTACGGAAATGATCAAAGGTGCAACCCAGTTACAAATTGAAAGATGCCTGCAGGGAGTAGGGGAACGGGGCTTATGTTTTAATCAGAGCTTCAATTAACTTGATAATGTGTTCGGTTTGCCCTGTGTGGATTGAGAACATCTTGAGATAACCAATTCCATTATATGAAGGCCACGGATACCATTTGAGGTCAACTAGAATTGAAAGTAACCACAATCAGTTAATTCGGAATACCTGATGGCATAACTTTAACGTTCAAATATAGAGGAAGGAAGAAGAAAAGCACGTTTAAAGCTCATTTGCCCACCTATTTTGCAGGTAGTAGAAGTAAAGAGTGTCAAAAACAAGGATTCAAGATGGGAAGCCATAACCACACCCATGCCACTGTCTTTGGTTATCCTAGGACTGTGGGGGTGCCAGAGGCCTACGGACCTTCTGAGAGTATGAGATTTACTGAGGGGCTCTGCCCAGGACTCAGAAATCTATTAGAGATTGTAGTACACCTTTGGGAAATATCAGCTCTTAGTTACAAATTGAAAGATGCCTGTGGGAAGTCAGAAGGAGGGGTGTGGGTTTAAGCAGAGCTTCAATTAAAAGCCGCCTCATTCTGTGAGTCCCCTGTGTCTTCCCCCAAACTCTAAAGGCCCCCTGGCCATACAATCATTACTCTGCCTCTTTGCCAAGGTCCCTCTCCACATCCCTCTATATCCTGACTTCCAGAGAAGGAGAAAGAGACATGGCATGGAGTGGAAAGGACTTGAATTTTGAATTCTAAACCACCTAAGTTGGGACACATTTCACCTGTCTGGGCATCACTTTTTTTCACCTGTAATATTAAGCTAAGGTCCTGCTTCAGAAGTTTGTGGTAAGGTGAAATTCAGTTTGGTTTATAAAGCCAAGCGGAGCTAATGTTGATATAGAGCAATCATAATGCCCATCCTCTTCCTCTTCCCAATCCCCATCCCCAGCAAAGAAAATATCCTGGTTTCCCTAAAGAGCTTTCAGATGTGTATGAAGGGCTCAGCCAATTTACTTGCCAGGGTCTGTTAATTGTGGTGTTCTGTGAGGCAAAAAAAAAATCCAATCTGATACTTAATAACCTTTTTCAGAACTCTTTGATCAGGGGTGTAAACATTCACAAGTCTTCCTAAATAGGAAGTAGGATTCTGGGGCAAGGCTGCATCCCGCTCATAAGCTTAGAGTGCTGGTCACTTTTCCTAAACACAGTGAGGACCACGCACAAAAGCTGGCACCTGTTGTCATCAAGGGATTTTAATTTTGTTCCTTTGGATCACACAGCACCTTGTGAACACTCCCTGGGGCTCCTGAATGCCACACTGGGCAGAGAGAAAACAGCATTCACCACGGAAGATACCACATCTGGTATCTATCCTACTACACAGCTTTTCTAGGACCCAAGATCATCAGATCATCAGAGAAAACATTTAAAACCCTCATTTGTTTAAAAAGTGAGCTTTGTTGGACTTTTTAAAAATTAAAAATGAGGTGGTTTTTAGGCTACTTGCTCTTGACCTCTTAGGTGTGCTAACTTTGGTAATGTCACGGAGGAAAGCTTGTTTCTTTCACCAGCCGGTAGACACATGGCATTGGGGCGTGTGTGTGTGTGTGTGTGTGTGTGTGTGTGTGTGTGTGTGTGTGGTGATGTTGATGATGGCCAATCAGAGGTAGCTTACCCTACATCAAATGTCAGGTTTTTTCCGGCTTTGGACTAGGCCAGTGGCAGGCAAGTATACCTGTCCACGTGTGTGCTATCAGAGGGTCAGAGAAGGGCGAGAGCCCAGATAAAAGTCAGCAAATCCCAGCAAAAGGAATTCTTTCAGCTTCTTTCCCTTGGGTTCATGGGGCAAGTTAAGATACATTATCAAAATCCATCCAAGGAGAATATTTTCATGAGCAGTGATTGATTTTTCAACTTGAGAAATGTGTGGCTGGCCCTGGGATTGAGGAGACTTGTAAGTTAAGTGCCTGGGAAAATGGACCGACCTCGCTACTCACACCGCTGTGTCTCCTGTCTCCCCCTCAGCCTGCACCTACAAAAACCAGGCGTGCTGCCTGACCATACATTACGAGAATGGATTTTCTATTACCACGGAACCACAGGAGGGTGCCTTTCCCAAGACCATCTTACAGTCTCCCTATGAGAAGCTGAAAATGTCTTCAGATGATGGAATCAGGATGCTTTATTTGGATTTTGGAGGCAAAGATGGAGAGATCGTAAGTGTATTTCTGTAGACAGTGCGATTTCATGTTTTGCTGGGCGGCACATCTGTGATGGCTTGCAAACGTAACGCTGCCTTATGTTTATTTAGCAATTGACTATTTACAAAGTACCTGCAGGCTCATGTCTTGTTTGATCCTAGAAAAACTATGATTAGATCCAAGTATCTCAAAGTTCCTAACTTTTATCTCATTTTCCACTAGCAAATCAATATTTGAATCAAAGAATCTTTTACAAAGTCAGCATTAAATTCTCATTAAATGGGGTCCCACCAGCTTCAAAATGCACCATTCATTCTTAAAAAGTCTCAAGCGTCTAATCTAACCTGGGCATCCGTGCTGGTGTGGGGGGTGCGGGGGCGTGACATGCGCAATGCCCGCCATCCGGGAGGTCTGCAAGGAGTACAGCACAGAGGCAGAGGGTCTGGAGGAGGGGCAGAGTAGAAGGGATGGTGGGGAACAAAGAAATGTGGTCAATACCTGCATGGACAGAGAGCCAGACAAGAGCCCAGAAGTTTCGGGCTAATGGCAAATAATGACTAACAAAATTAGCAAATTTGTCAGAGTAACTTTTAGACTTAGATCAATGCAAACAGCCAGTGTATTGAAATTCACAATTTGCTGTGATCATTACTGCCTGTTACAACAATAACTGTACTTCTTCAGTTCTATGAAAGGGTGGGAATTTGCATGTTCTTTCTAGAAAGCAAGTATAGTTCTTGACATTCTCCAGAAGACATAGGACCTCGTTTAAGCTGTTAGCATAAGGCCTTCATTTCAAAGTCACGAGCACTGCTGTTCTGGGTCCCGAGACACCACCGGCCCCACATAACCCAGCACTTCTCACTGTGGGTATCACCTGTGGCCGTGAGGAATCCAACACCCTATGCCTGGCTGCTCATCTGAACTCACTTTCTGAGAACAGTTTCCAGCCAGTCATTTCCCTAACCTTTAAAATGGATCCACAGGATTTTATAGGATTTGTGTGTTTCAGTCAGTAGGTTCAGCCTGAAGCACCAGTTTGGAAATAAGTGACTAGAAAGTCCCTTTCGCTAAGAATACTTGTAGTTCAGTTGCTGCTTTTATCAATCACTCAACTGCGTGCTTTTTCCTAAAGGGGACTGCTCCCTAGCAAAAAAAAAAAAAAAAAAAAAAAAAAAAAAGTCTCTTGCTATCCTTGGCTTGAAAAATCAAGGCTATTTTTGCCCATGAGGAAAATCACTTAGGTCTAAATTTCAGCCTTCCTGAAGCCTGTAATTATAACCTGACTCGGGAGATTTAGGAAGGACTGAGTTTTTGCTGCCAGTCCATTCAGCTGGTGAGTGCAAGTTCACACATAGCTCCCCCAGGTCAAGTCAGCAACCCCAGGAGGCAGGCACCACCCAGCCTTTCCTCTTCTTTTCCAGGGAAGGGAGCAGAGATGTGCTATTGAGATGGAGTTGAGGGTCAAGACACCCATGTTCTGAGTCTGTAACTAACTCACCAGTTGTCTTGGGCAAGTGCTTGTATTTCTTTGGATCTGAGTCTCTCTGTCCATAAAATACAGTGACTAAAGTGGGTAATCTTTAAGATTACTTCCAAAAGTTGCATTCTGACTCTTATGCTCTGGTCATGGGTGGAGACACATGTAGGCACACACGGAGCAGGGGACTTAACAGACATGTGACCCACATGCTTACAATTCAAGAGCACAGGACCCTGGGGACACAGCTGCTTAGCCCTAGGGCTTCTGCATTCCGAAATCTCTTTTTCTGTTATTTATTTTGAGAGAGAGACAGACAGCTCGGGGGAAAGGCAGAGAGAGAGGGAGAGAGGATCCCAAGCAGGCTCCACACTGTCAGCGCAGAGCCCCATGCGGGGCTCGAACCCATAAACCGTGAGATCACGACTTGAGCCGAAACTAAGAGTCAGACAGATGTTTAACCAAGTGAGCCACCCAGTTGCCCCTGTATGCTGGATTTCACATACAGTATCTCATTTAATACTCTATTTACCCTGTAAATTAGGTAAGACTAAGAAAAATTTCAAGTGACTTGTCCCAGATTGTATATCTAAAAAGTGTTAAAGGAAAAAAAAAGTGTTAAAACCAGGACTCAAATTTAATCTTCAGATGTGAAATTTAGTGCTCCTCCAAGCTGGACCTAATCCAACATAAATAATATCACTATTGTGATACCAAAAATAAATGGTTTAGACAGTCAAGAAAGGCAACATCAATATGGATGCTACTGGTATATATGAATTTCACAGAACCTATTTCGGAAAAAAAAAAAAAGATATATGAGATATAAAGAATAAGTTCAAAGAGTTAGCTTTTAAATCTCACTGAGGGGGTGGGGGGGCAAGGATTTACAGCCATAATTGATTCAGTTCCCATTTAAAAGCAGGAAGTGCTCAGATCCATTTGATGTGCAAATCGCTATTCTGTATCAAGCATTGATTGAAAATCTCTCAAGCTCTCTTCTTTTTAAATTTCAGCAACTGGACCTTCACTCCTGCCCCAAGCCGATCGTGTTCATCATTCACTCCTTCCTGTCAGCGAAGATCACAAGACTGGGCTTGGTGGCCTGAGCAGGGGGATGGCTTGCCTTGGACAGGAGGGCTGCTGTGGGACGTCAGATCAGCTGCTCGGCGAGCGGGGAGAGGTAGCATAGCAGGTCTGCCGCGGTCAGCTTTAGATCCCCGAGTCCTCAGCTGCCCCAGACTTCTCCATCAGCTTCACCAACTACAAGGGGGTGCCCCAAGAAAACACCGCAAGGAATATCAGGAGAAAAATGGCTTTTTAGAACGGTAGAAGGGTAAAGAGGTGAGGGCGAATGGGAATACATAAGCATAGCTTTGAAATCACGACAATCAAGTACATGAACATTAGAACAGCGTGTGCAGATCTTAATCATACCAGTGTCTAGGCAACTGGTTCACCCAGGTAAGCAAGGGCTGACCAGATGAGAAATGGACACGTTGACCTCCCCCACCCCCGATAACAATGATCCCTTGTTTTAGTGTGATTGATTGCCTACTTCTAATTGAGTTGACTTTTGCTGGTAAGGAAAGAGAAGTGCTTCAAATTGGAAACCCACCTTTTACTTAAGTATGAAGCAGCTGTAATTTTTTTCTTAATGAATTATCTTTCAGTGATGTACAATGAGTCTGAAGTATTCTCATTAGCATATGCCGAGCAGGAATTAAATAAAGCGTCAGATACTGATCTGAGCTCTGAGCTGGTGGAATCTGAGCCAAAGTAGACTGTTTATAGTGCAGAGCTTTGCAGAAGAGTCGTGTGCTTGAAAGATGATTAATCTGGAGACTGTACTCACACCAAGGTGTGTTATCTTAGAGCCAAGACGGATAGCTTTACTTATAGAAAGCAAATTATGGATATTTTTTTAAAAGATTGTCATTTGAGATATATATAAACATACGTATATCTCCTATATATATAACATACATACATATATATAAAACAGCTCACATGAGATTAACTAATTATCCCCATTTCGTGGTTTTCAGTGGAAATACTGAGCAATTTATTGACCCTTGTGCCTGCCTGTGCTCGTATGCATGCATTTTCGAACCAATCATAGAGCAGCGCATATAATTCTGGACGATGATGGGCTTTACGCATACACCCAGAGTGGTAATCAAATCTGTTGACAGCATCCGCAGCTCTTAGGAATTCCAGGGAAATAATATAATGACCTGATATTTTTCTACAAGAATATTTTCAGACAACATAGAGCATATTTCTGATTTAATGCCTTTATTTTTACCTTTCAATACAAATTCAGTAGAAAGACACCAGTATCATTTGATTTTGGAGTCCCTTTCCTCAAACCTTAAAAATTAGCTCTAGAGGTTCCGTAAGCATTTGTAACCCTTCTTCCCCCTGTAATGTACATAAAGAAATGTTCTGGATTGGACCTATGCGTTTTTGCAGAACTTTTAGCAAATACCTGTGCAAAGAGCTTTTAAAAGTGAAACGGTCTTGGGGCGCCTGGGTGGCGCAGTCGGT